ACTGAAATAAAATGTAAAAATCAGTTTACTTTTTTTTTTTTCAGTGGCCCTAATCCTCTTCCGTAGATCAATGTCAATTATTGTGTCAAAGCTAATATCTACCGTAATGGAATAGTGTGAAGTTGCCAAGGATTCTGGGAATTGTTGTTTTACCTGTATTCTTGAACTCAAACAGACGAGGGTCTGCTTTGATGGGGATGAGGCCCAACCTGTGGGCTAGAACCTCATCCTGGACGATAGATGTGTTGTTATAGATGAACACTTTCTCTATAGCCATGGTGGGCACCTGGAAACAGATAGAGAGGAAAGCTTTTCAAAAAACAACAATGATGTCATGCTTCTTTTTTGGTCTTTAAACTGATTTTCCTCTGTGCCTCAATCTCTAAGTTTGAATCATTGTTACTTTATAAATTCAACATCTTAAGTGATAAAAGGCACAGAAACTTTGGAAATAAACACGATTTCTTTATGTCTACTACAGATTAATTTGAGTACTTTTAGTTAAGCCCTTAAAGCCTACGGTAGCAAATATGCATCGAACCGTTTTTATTAAGCAAACAGACAAGATGGAGTCTGGTTTCCTCCTTTTACACTTTTGGCGCAGACCTAGGAACCATTGGCAAACACTTGTTGCTAGTAGGACTGCTGCTGACCAGAGAGCTCAGATCTGGAGCCAAAAAAGAAAAAAAGTTAGGAAATAATGAGCTATTTTATACATTAGCTAAAAAAGAATCTCTTATTTGTTATTGAAGGCTTCTTGATCCAATGTTCTCAGATAAACTCTCTGATTATGTTTTTTTTTAAGTTATAAGTTTATATATTTGCTACAGTAGGGAAATGAGGTAGATCTGAGAAAAGGACTGATTTTAGGAATACTGACTTATTTTTTCATGATTATTTTAAAATATATTAATAAAAATAATTGACTAGGATACAGATGTCAGTTTTAATAGACATTTCTTTTTTTGCCATCTTGACATCATGACTGCTTTTACACATTTGCACCTTGGTGAATGTTATTTATTAAAAGTAGACTGTTACAATAGAAGAGATGTACTATTTGTTTTCTATGGATAAAAACAAGAGTTTGGTTTTAGAGGTTTTCTTCACAACCAAATAACACATTTCTTTATGTCCGTTATTTTAAAGAAACGACTGGTAATTAATTCAAATTACTCCAAAAAAAACATAAGTTCGAGCTAAAGACCCCATTTAGAGATGATACGCTTACGTTTATTATAAACAACGGGAATAAACAGACCAGGCTGTCACCTCTGCTAATAAGATTCTCCTGAAGGCGTTGGCAATGGCAGCATCGATCCCCACCATGTCAAACTCCATGCTGTTCTCATCTAGATGCACTACATCAATCCGGAAGTTCTGCAAACAGATGAATGGATTTAGAGGAGAAACCAGGAAACATTTCTTCAAACACTGCAACTCTGGAAATTCATGTTAAAATACCACAGTTCTGCTCATAATTTACACACTATTAAAATAATAATCCCTTTGGTCTGAAAGTTCTGCATTTTATCTAATGAAGAATACATTTTCACTCAGTGCAAAATCTTTCCACACAACTAACAGACATAAAGAAGCAGCTAAAGAGCAGACAGACAGGACAGTCTCTATACCAGGGGTAACCAAAAACCAGCGGAGTCTGAATAAAGAAAATCATCAACCAGTAAAGGTCCGGAGACATTTTTAATTATAATCTGTTACTCTGAACAGAATTTAACACTGAAATAGAATAAGGTTTATATGCATCCATGTTATACAATTATTTTTTTAATAAAACACATATACATATACATATATATATATATATATA